GCGGGACGGAGCCGCCAGCCGCCGTGCTGTGAGACACGGTCCGCAGGCCGCGATTCGTGAGGCAGATTGTTGGCTAACCGCCCCTGCTGTCTCGTTTAAAATGCCCGGGCTTGCAGCATATTCGTAGACACAGGGCTGACGAAACCCCCTGGGATTAGAACGGGCTTGTGGGCTGCTGCTTTTTCTTGCCTCCTCAGCTAGTCACCTGAGATGGCCTTTGGGAGACCGGCAGCTTTCAGCCTCGCCCTCAGGGGTTCCAAGGAAAAGTGTCTCGGGCAGCTTTGATGGTTCAGAAATGAAGTAAGCCTTAAAATATTACTGGTTTTACTTTTTAAGTAAACCGATTTTTAACCTATAGGATGATACGGTTTCCTACCTAGGAAACCAGGTAGTAAAAGCCACAGGTAGTTTCTAGGTAGTAAAAGCCACAACTGCTCCAAAAATAATTATTCTCGGCCAGGGTTTTTTTCATAAACTGGTAAATAGGACAACTCAAACCGCTGAGAAAAAAGATACCCAAACAATAAAACCCTGAATTCTTCCCTGGGCAGGCTGTAATGCCTTCCAGTTAACCTAGAAGGGAAACACCTCTTTCCCCCGACGCACAGCCTAGGCTGTGGGTGAAGTCGCACAGCGCAGCTGAGCCTGCCTGCCAGCCTCACTGGCTGGAAAGGTGAGGCAGTGTTCACTCTCACCTTTCCTATCTCTCCCTGTTCCGAGACATGCTGCTCCACCCCCTCTTGCCAAGCTCTTTGTTGAGACAGCTCTAATTCCTAACTTGGCAAAAAAGTGTTCTGTGTCCTTAGGTTAGTTCGATGAACTGTATCCATCAGCTCAGGGATGAGTCTGACTGCCACAAGTGCAGAGATGGCGTGGGAAGTGGAAGAGAAAGTCTTTTGGGGAGGAGTTAGCCATTAAGGTAGGCTCAGCTATATTATGTTATGTCTAAGAGACTTTCATGCAGATGGGCTGCCTGTCTTCTAAACCAATTGCCTTAGACTTGTTTGGTCTTCAGTGAGCTCAGAGCCTTTCCCTCTATGCTACTATGTAGTCCACGCCTGCCTGTGCAATGTTATTCTCCACAGTGCCAGAGATGCCCTGGATTTCACCTGGAGATTTGCCCACTGCTGAACTACAGATTTTGGGCAGGTTGTGCTCTAAGCTCAGAATCGGATTCAACTTAACACGACTGTCCCAGAAGCACTGGCTTCTAAACCAGATGTGTAAGCACATAAGCATCTTCCAAGCAGGCAGCTTCTCTGTGGAGCTTTGAGGATATCAGCTTGCAAGTTAGGGACTGATATCTCTCCAGATGTGCATGCATCGCTTGCAGCATCCCAGATCTGTGCTGGTGCAAGACAGGACATCCTGTGCCCTGACTTACTACTCACTAGTTTGCCTGGGCAGAGGACATGGGCCCAGAGGCCAGAAAAGAGCTGTGACATAAAAAAAGAGAAAATAGGGGGAAAATGAACGACCTGGACTGCAAGGAAGGCCGAAGTGCATGTCAAAGTAGGGATAGAACCTCTGTAGCTCTGTTTGTAAAAGCTCTCAGGGCTGCTGGGCTGCTTGAGAACACAATTAAACCAACAGCTTGCACAGAGCCCTGAATTTAGTTGTGGAGGAAGGGTATGAAGTAAACTAATGCATACAGACTGATGAGCTGAACAAGAATAGGTAACAGTGTTTAACCTGGCAAGTAATCTAAGAGACATCATGTAGAATGAGTCTACTAACCCAGTTGGTAAGTGGCCAGCAGATAGAGAAGGTCCATGGGTGTTAATGGGAGGGTGTATCTCAAGGGGAGGACTCAGGGGCTGGACTCAAATCAGGTGGCGAACTCAGAGTGTCCTCTCTGCTGGAGTTTGCTCAGGGCAGTGCTGAATTTACAACTGTCGAGTTTCAGTTGTCCCTGAGGTGGTAGATACTGAATGCTGTGGCTGAGGAGCTCAAAACCATTTTTTATCATCCTCTAAAAGAAGAAAAAGGAAGAGCCCTGGCCCCAAAACAGTCAAGACCTTTCTCAGGTCAGTCTTAAATTCTTACCTCTACCAGCAGCTGTTCTCAAGCCCTGGGGATTTCACTGAGCCAATTTAATGCTGGTGGCCAGACAGTTTAAACCCATTAGCTCCTAGCTACCTGAATAATTTTCTCCTTGGAGCCCAGCACACCGGCAGACTGCTCTAATCAGAACTGCGGAGAACTACCGCATTAACTGGACATTTGCTAACTGTTGTGGCCTGCGTGGTGAGCATTCAAGGGCTGAAGAAAATGCCACTGGCTAGATCACTGTCCATGACTTCTCTTAATGGGCTTCCTCAGTGGGAGGATGAAGACCTACCAGTGGAGGATTTGTTGCTCTTTGAAGTTTCTTGGGAAGTTACCAACAAAGGTTTGTACAATACTCTTAGGATTAGTATTTGATGGGAGCGGAGGGAGGCATGAAGGGCTTGGGCAAGAAAGGCATTAAGGGGAGATTGGGGAAAAGTGGGCTGCAGAGTTGTTGTATTGGAAGGAGTGCATGTGGCATCTGTATGTAATCGTGCATGCTGTGTGTGTGCTGCACCTGTCTGTGCTTGTGTGGGATAAGCATATAGTTAGGACATCTGGGTATCTTTACATGTTTCACCACCAGGGATAAGTTGTTTAAACAAACATCTAAGTGTTATGCCTGAGTGCACAGATATATGGATATATAGATGTTGCTTTGTACATGTTTATATTTTACTTTCCATTCACTTGGGAATGTAATGCATGAAAATGAGCTGTAAAAGAGGCATCAGATTCAGAGTAGCTTAGCAGGCTCCCTCAGCCTCCTAGAGCAGTGTGGAGAAGAGGCCAAATTTGAAATAGGTATAAATAAACACAGCTGCATTGAAGCCACGGAACAAAAAACAAATGTCAATGACCAGCAGTCTTTATGCCACCTGAAACCCTTTTGGACTGGTCTTTGCAAATACAGGTGGTGCCAGGCAGGGCCTTCATGCTTTGTGCATGTGTACAGATTGAAAATCTGTTCACTGCATGCAGCTTGTCATGCAAAGTGCACACTGCTTATTATGCAAAGATGTTTCGGCCTCCATTTCTAATTCACTCATCAAATCATCTCCTTTCAGGTAGGTGTAGTTGACCAAGGGGGAATAGGCTCCATTTTTGCCACAAAAGTGAGTTAATATGAGTAAATGATTGATCTCATGTGTTTTATTGTCCTGGCAGATAAATAATCAGGAGAGAGGATCTGTAAACTGTTAAGATTTTAACTCTAAAAGGGAACTGGGAGTGAGAGGAACAGACAGTGCTACGGTTTATCTCTATGGTGAAACTGGAATTACTATTCTGTGATAGCTTCTGGCATGTAATCTGAACTGCAGTGCAATTTTACATTGCTCTTTTTAGGGTGGTGAGAAGTATCACACTACACAGAGGTAGTACTGACTAGCTTCTGGACTTTGAATCACTGTGGGCTTATTTTTCAGTAGCTTCGTTCAAGTTTTTTGAATTTACTATTGTCAGAACTTGGAGCATGTAGCATTTAGTTTTGCAGTGTGCATGGTAAGGCAGGCACTGGCAAGCAGATGGCAGCAGAAATCTAGCAAATTCAGGTGTTCTCCTTAACATGTCTGAACTCCATAGTCTATGTATTGTCTGAGTCATCTGGACCCACTGATTATAGATATCACACAATTTGTTAAGAAAAAGTAAAACATAATTAGATTGATCTGTCTTTGTATGTACAAAATGCAGTGAATCATTTAATAATTCATATAGCTCTTGCTGACTTCAATAAAGCCAAATCAACAGACACAGCTAAAATTTATTATTTTTAGATTTTATGAGAGAATGAATATTTATTCAGTTAGCTTAAAAATAAGATGCTGTTAATTACATCGCTTACCAAAGCCAAATATTCAAATGGGGCTGACTGAACTAGTCATGGCAAACAATTTCTTCATTGGAACCAGATATGTGTTCAAAGTTTCCATTAACCAACCTTGACTGGAAACATTGGTGCAAAAAATCTTTAATAAGCCTATTTCAGCTTATTTTTTGTTGTAAATTCTTGATACTGAAGGGTTTTTTTCTATATCTTCCAGACAATTGAATGTCTAAGTCACATGGTGAGGTACTGTTCCCTGGTGACCTAACTTTTATAAACAGTTCTTGGAAAATGTTAGGGCATTATGTTTCTTAGGAGAGAGTAGCCAACAAAATACAGGGAGAGTCATCACAGAAGATACATAGGCTTAGGAAATAATAGCTTACACTGTATTTTTCCTGCCTCCTTTAGCAGAAGGAAGAACTGTTTATTTGACCAAGTAGACTGACCCCACATAGATTTACTACTGCCACATGTTTTAGTTTTAATGTTGCTATATATATTCCTAATATAGAGGGAAAGATAAGCATTAGTTGGATTTATTGTCTGGTAAGCTAAAAGTTTTGAGCATTTAATGTGAAGGTTTCTTTCTTCCTTTCTGGTAATGCAAAGGTGTGTCAGGGTACTTCAGCATGAAGCTTCCTTGCACTGCTAAAGTGGTGCAAAGCTGCTGTTGCCTACAGGAGAGAGTTCAAGTCTTTCTGTTAACTTTGTGTGTGTCACTAGGTGCTCGGCTCTGGGTTCATTTCCTCCCTGACCCATGCTGCTGCTTCGTGGTTCCTCCATCTCTCTGTGACAATGGCAATAAGGCTGAATGTCGTCTTCCCTGTGAGGAGGGTACTACCAGAGCTCACAGATGGCTAGCTATTCCCATACCTGTAAATAGTGCACTTTCCAGGGCAAAACTTGAGCTGTTTTCTGAGCCTCTCAAATATATCCTCCTTCAGAGGTTGAGGATGATGAAGGCATCCTGCAAATCAGAGAACATCTGATTACGTATTGTGAGAGGACCTTCATGTGCCAGGCTGCCCATCGGGAGCGAGCCTTTACTGGGATTTTCTTGAGCAGGAGATGGTGCTGGTTGGTACTGAGGCATGAGATGCAGCTGTAAGGAAGGACAAGTCAGTTGTGTGAATTCAGTGCTCAGAGATCTACCAATATCTATTACTCTCAGTCTCATCACTTCTTTCTCAGTAGCTGGCACAGTGAAGGTGTTTCTCTTTTTTTAATTTTTTTTTTTTTTTTTTTTTAATCTACATCATTTTTACACATGCTTTAACTAAGCAGAGCTTTCTACTTCTTTTTATATATTCTCTGTCCTGGCCACTGTCTGTGCTAACTGGCAATCTTTAGAAAGCACCAGGAACTCTTCTTTCTCCTTTTCTCTGCTGGAGCAAGGGAAGACAAGGTCGCTGAAGGAGAGAATGAGAAATAAAGAAGGCTGATTTGCCAGTGTCACTCTTCCTGTGAAAAGGAACTTGCCACCTAAACCAAGCACAACATTGAAATCATCATGCATTGAAAGCCCCCTGCCAAATAAATGAGAAAAATGTAGTTTGTTTTGCAAGATTTTCCTGGCTTTATTTGACTCTTCACGGATGGGCAAGACCCATACTGTGAAGTGGATCTGCTGTGTTTCTGTGGCAGAAGGGGAAAAAAGCAGGCAGGCAAGAGTCCCAGTGCTCTGCAGTGCCACATGATCTGGTGGTAATTGTGGGGAAGCTCAGTTTTTTTCACCCTTCCTCTTCTCTCCTGGCCACCATGCTCCATTAAAGCCAGATCTGGGCATATCTCTGCACATGTTGGAAAGGAAGACTGGTTTTCTTTCCCCCGTAACATGAAGACCAATAAAAACTTTAAGGACCAGAGCACAGACCAAGTGCTAGAAGCCATATAGAACTTGTGTCTGAAGCCCCACAGATGGAAATTGGCAACAGGGAGCAGCCAAAGGCCATTGCAGGAGTAATGGCAGCAGTCTTGGACTTTTTTCCCACTGAAAATTTAAGTATTTAATCTTGGGTACAGGGGAGAACTCTAATTCTGTAAGTTACAATAACCATTAGCTGTAGTTTAGTAAGTTTTCTGATATGTTAATGAGAAGGGCTGAGAATGTTCAAGATCTGGTCTGTGTTCTATAAAGATGTCTTTTAAATCATTCCAGTAATATTTAGATTAGTATCTCAAGCTAACAGCTTTTAGATAGAAAATAGAAGAATGCTTAAAAATGCTGGGCAAACAGCCAGTTTGTATCATCATTCAGCTGTGAACAGATTAGCATTAGGTAGATGAATCCTGTGGGTTTTTTTTGTTCCATCCCTATTGGAATGACGACTCTGCTAAAAACAAACCTTGGTTCAGTTCTCCTTGGAGCAGAGCTCTATGTACTGTTTTTCTGGTGAAAATCTGGACCCTTGGAAATTCAATCTTGATTCACTGAAGTCAGTAGGACCAGCATTTTACCCCCTCTGCATTAAATGTCCTTCCATGATGAAAGTTCCTTGGGAGAAGATGAAATGATGTAATCTGTGACACACCTGAGGTAACACACTTTGGAGAGTGGGGATATCATGGCATAAGCACAGCATCAAAGCCCTGTGCATTTCTAGAGTGGGGTGGTATGTCAACGTCAAATCAATCTCAAATGAAAACCTGTGCATTGGGGGTGATGCACACAGAAATATCTTCTGTACTGTGGACATGTGTCATAAATTTCATATTGTGGCATAAATTTCTGTATTGTGGACATCTGTCATAAATTTCAGTGTTTCAGTATTATTTCAGAACATGTTTGGAATGTCAGAATTTCAGAATTTAGAAAACCTCTATCTTCTGATGAGTCCTGGCCACAAACATAGCCAAAAATACGTGAAAAACATCTGCTATCTGAAGATGCTGGGTTTTTTTAATCTGACACACTTTATAGCCTTACTCTAAAAATGGTCCCCAGATATCTCAACAGTCAATCAATAAATAAAAAAAATTCCAACCAAGCATTAGAAAAAGAATAAGTTCAAGCCCAATTTTACCACATCTCTATAGATCAGAGATACATTCTGAGGGCAAGGGGTGAAGGGATAGTTGATGTAACTATTAATTGTGGTAGCAAAGGCAATTTGAATCCTGAACCTGGAGTCCCACTGCTCTCTTGGGTTCCATGTCAGCCATGGTTCTCAGGAAAGCTTTAGTGCTTTCAGAGTGGCCTGGTCAGGCCGTAGCAAAGAAGCTGAAAAGCTCCAGGAGCACCCTGATCCTCCCTGTGTATCAAAGGTGTGTGGGGAAAGGCTCCTGCACTGATCAGCGACAGTCTTACCTGTGTCTCACTTGCATAGCTTTGCTTCCAATCCCTCTCTTTCCTTTTTGATTTCTGCTGCTCCTTCCCTCTGTGCTTCTGCAATGTGGGCTAGGTGGGAGACCCAGTAAAATGAACGGTGGGTATCCTTGGCAGTTCTGAGAAGTTTTGGCAATTCCATGTTCAAAGAGTCGCACCTCCAGCAGACATTTTTTTGTCAGCACAATTCCCGGGTAGTCCTGGAAGTTGTGGACCCTTCCTCATCAGGTGACAAAAAGCATTGGCAATGCGTCTTTCCATATAACAGCTTGAGGCAGGAAGAGCACCTCTACATATTACAACTTGCACAAAGATCTCAAGTTGCATAGTTAGATCTCCACTGCTGCCTAATGTTGTCTTCAGTAGTGAAATGATATTGGGAGACTGCTCTTGACTTTCAGACTTTTTATTTATTTAGATAGTTCTGATGTCTATCCTGGAGGGCTCTAACTGCTGCTTGGATTTTAAATATACAAAAGAAATAATGCACCAGGACTTGAAATGAGAAAAGAATAACTCCTTTAGACAAATTCATATGTATATTAAAACATTCAAACTTTTAAAATAGTTCTATGAAATATTTTCTGAGAAAATATTTTGTTTTCATTTTCTATTTTTTGAAGAGGTCACTTAAAAAAGGTGAAACTTCTCTTAAATGAACAAAATTCATCTTTCCCAAACATTTTAGTTCCCCTTTCCATGACAGCTAATTTTTCCCTGGAAAAAGAGGAAGAATGGAAAAGAAATAAATGGGGAAAAAGATTTATTGTTGATTTTCTTTTTAACTTTCTGTGAAATAATAAAAATCTTTTTCTCTCAAGGCCACTTTAATTATTAAATTAATGATTTAAACATAACATATTTGAATAAAGCATTTTGGTGGAGATCAGAACACTAAACCAGCCCTGTGTCCACATTTTGCTGCTAATTTCCCAATGTTTACGATGATCCAAACCAATTCTCTGGATCTGATTGTTCCTGATTCTGCATCTATTTCTCATTTTGCCTTTTATTGTTTGTTTTAAAACCTGCTTCAAAGTACAAAACTTCAGAGGTTGCATAAAGAAACTTGCAACATCATGGGATTTTGGTACATCCCTGTTGTTTGGAAAGGTTTTCTCTTTATAATATGACCTTAAAACATTATATTAGAGAAGAATAAGGAGGTTTACCAAATTTTTTGGAAATACTTTGAGAATTCTGTTAGACTCCAAGTGAATATGTAAACCCTTACTCTGTTACTCAGTAGGAGAAGTAATGCACTGCTTACTGTCATGGATATTTCCAGGGAATTTAAAGTAACAGAGCTATATCTTAATGATGTATAACGTATTCCTTGAATTTGCTATGGAAAAGTGCAATTTCAAAAATCAGTACATTATTGTAGACATCAGTCTACTCTTCTCAAGATGTCTTTTTTCAGTTATGCCCAACAATTTCCACATACATCGTTTCACTTACACACTTCCCTTCCCCTGTCAATTAAAGCTTATGCAAAGACATGCTTTATGAGTCATAGTTCCACAATAACAGAGAAGACAAAAACAAGGTTTGGGACCAGGTAACCCAGAGCTTTTATCGCAGCTATCTGCTGAAGAGTTTTCACAGTCTATAAAACGTACTCTTTTGGTTTTATCCTAAGTACTTGTCATCGCATTTCAGGCAAATCAGTGCCCTGAAGTGTTTTTTACCTTGCTGTGCAACAGATTACAATTGCAGAGCACAACATATTCTCCACTCTTTC